AGCACCCGCAGGCGACCATTACGGGTCGTGGTGCTGCAAAAAGACGGGAGAGAGACTCGGAGAACGAGACTGTCATCGAGAAAGTCATGAGAGATTTGTGGGAGAATTAGAGAAGGAAGACTGCCCCCTGTTCTGAGAAGTCTGTATGAGACTGGACTACTAGTCATAAACCTACCCCAGGCGATTCAATAAGCGTTTATCACACACAAACCCTCTCTCTGTTGGGAATTCGCTGGATGCATTGTGTTTTTTTTTTCTTTTCTCATTTATCTTAAATGTTTTTATTCTCCCTGTAACCTCTGTTCTGATGTTATCTTCTTATATAAAAGAGATCAATATCTCCCCCATTGTTGTCTGGCTTCTGCAGATATTATTTCTTGTTTTATTTTGCCACATTCTAAACTTCCTACCGCCAACTCTCACAGCCGTGTCCACATCCCCAGTCGACCGTTAACGTATGGACAACACCCTGCTTACTGGATCTAAAAGCTAACACAGCATAGGCAGCAAGTGGGACTTGACCAGTTGACTGGTCGAAATAATCTACGAGTACTCAGGGAGCATACGGCCAGTTACCCCTAAGTTCAGTTCGGACCGAGTGGACACCTCAACCCAAAGAGGAAGGCGCCGGAGGTTGAGGGGCTGAGGACGAAGTGGTAGAGAAATGAGAATGGCGCAGAAATGAGAAAGGCGCAGAAAATCAAAAATACTTTTGAGACCATCTGATATCAATTAAAAAATTCTTGTAAAATTTCTCAATCAGTTGGAGATCATTATACTGTTGAACAACTAGCAAGTATGACAAGTCCTTTGTTCTTTTTGTGAGCATATTGGAAATCCATAATCAAGGGACAGACTGGCGTCATCAGTAAGGACACTGGGCATGACAAGCAGAATAACAACAAGAACAGCATAAAAGGAGGTTCCATTTGACATTTCCAGAAAGTTACCAAATGTGACAGAAGTCTGGAGGATCATTAAAAAAAGGTGTCAACCATTTTAAAACTGGAATAAGTTAATTGCACAAATTCAAACAGAAAAAAAAAAAAAGGATTCATTTGTGGTTGCTTGGATTTTTAAGCATATTAACCCAACATTTAAAAAAAAAAATTAAATCAAAACATTAGGGTGTGTGTGTGTATAGTACAGAGAATGATTCTTATAGGAGGTCAACTTGAGCATGGTTCCAATGATTGTTTTAATCAAACAATTCAGTTTTTTTACCATTTCTTACAAGGGATCAATTGTCAGAAAAAAAAAATTGAGCACTACAATCACTAACATTACCTCCCAATACTAGGCTGCTTCTACAGCTTTTGTTCTAAGTTAACATTCATAGACAAGCTCTGATAAACAAGTTTCACTGTTTACTACTATAAGTATACACTTTTGAAAGTTACTTAATAGTAAATAGATTGCTATCAAAATAGTTGACTTTGTTTTGTACATGACTAAATGCACTTGGGAGAAATCTATGAGTCTAGTACATGATTGAATAAACTTGGTGTATGAGGGTGGGGAGGGGAGTCATTACATAACTGAATACACTTTGCAGTAAAGAGGGCAGGGTCATCCAATTGTTTTAAGACATTTGTTTTTTTTTTTAAATAGTTATTCAAATCCAATTGATAATATTTTAAGCCAGATCAATTTCTTTTCCAATTAATGATTCAACTAATCTGAAATTTTGTGTTATAAACATCACTTTCTTAGCTTTCAACCCATACATTTTCTAATTCCAAGTCACCCTTGGGCAATCGTGTATCATAACAGTGTCCCTCTACCATGACGGGAACTTAAATTTTAAAATCTTTGTTAGGATAAAAATATTTAGATATAAAATAAAAGAAAGTAACTCACTTTTCAGTTTTGCTCAAGTCCAAAAGCATGTCCTTGTGGGGGTGGCAAATTATTTTCCATCCTACAATCCCTTACCCACAGATGAAACATTAAAAGCCTCTATCACTATTTCCATGGAAAGTGTTCAGACAAACTACATTCTTTAGTTCCACCAGTTCTAACCTTCATGACTAAGACCTGCCCTGCTGTGCACATTGTAGCGAACCACCCACATTCACTTCATATTTCATTGGTGAGATCTAAGTTCCGCTCAAGTAGCTTCTTTTCACAAACCGCTGATTTGTAGATCTAACTCCCAAGAGGAAGCTTCCCTGTTCACTACACTCATAATCTGTTCAAATCTAAGGTTAACCATTATCATCCCCACATATCTCTATAAACTGTGCCTCTTACTCTGTACCCTCTACCTCGAGTGGCTCTTGGGTCTTGTACAGAGTAAACATCATTGTTAAAAAAAAAAAAATGTTTTTGCCTAAAAGCTTAGCTTAACTTCAATTTTTATGCCTCCAAAAACAAAAACAGTAAAATGATTACCGTTTTGGGTTTGTTTTGAGTTGAAGTGACCAGTATTCAGAGAGGAAGAAATAAGATACCATTCAATAAAATTCACAAGATTTATGCTGACTAATAGGCTTTGGTATCATTTTCAGACTAAAGATTGATGAAAGAGAAAATGCTAATACTAAGATCACATTGCACCAAGACATGGTAGCTAATACCGGATTATGTTTGTAAGAATTTTCCACAGGCAAAAATAATCACTGAAAACTGAGCAGGGATCAATCATTGAATAGAACAGTTAAGACTTGGAGCTATATCAATATTATAGCACAAATTTTAGATAGAGAACTTTTCAGCACCCCCTCGTGTATCTGCATGTGTACAGCTAATAGGCAGTGACAAACTGGAAAAATATTTGGTCTTGTTTGATATTTTCAAGGGAGATAAACCTTGTCTTACTAAATCCTTGAGATTAACAATATGGCAGTGGAGATTAGCATTTATCAAACGGAATAACAGAGGAAAATGAAAGCAAATCATTTTGATTGATTGCAGTAGCAGCGAAGAGTGTGGTTTTTTTTTGGGGGTGCAGTGAGATTGGTACCTTAAATCTGCTGGTACTTTCTTCTTGTGAAGAATATAAGATGGTAACTTCACTCTCCAGCAAGAGAAAAAAAAAAAAGAAGAAAAAACAAAGCAATTAAACAAATGTTCTTAGTAAAAAGCAGTATCATCAAAATGAGCAAGTATATTATAAACAAATATTACTGAAAAGCTAGTTTGAATATTAATAAAAACAAAAATATTCATGTCGGCTGGTATTTTATTATAGGGAGTAAAATATGATATTTTAACAGTTTCTGTGCCTAAGATCAGTTTTTAAGATTTTTCTTTAAATTTTGCTTATCACCAAAAAAGTATAGCGACACAGACCTTCCTATTTTGACCAGAATTTCTCAGATTTTCTTTAAATTTCTTCCCTTTTAGTTTCTTTTTGTTCAATAATACAAACTAGCATAAAGTTATGTTTCAACATCTGTCTATATTTCTAAAATGAGGTATTGTAACTATTTACATTGTTTGGGCTATTGATCTCATCTTTATTGTCATATTCACAATGTTTCAGCTATTGTACAGTCCGGCCTTCTTCAGGTGATATATAGTGAAATTTCAAACTGAACCCTTTATTTTGTCCACTAGGGTATGTGCCAGTTTCAGTTATTTCCCTTTAGCAACTCAACTCTTTGGCTTTTTGTTCGCCTCTGCTGTGGCCAGGTATTGAACTTATAACTCTTTAGGTCAAGTCACTGGATTACTTCAACAAACGCTTTGATCCACTGGGCTATGTATTTTTGGAAGAAGGCCATGTATTTTTGGTACAACGGCTGAAACACTGTGAATATGACAATAAAAATGAGGACAACCATCCGAACAATGTAAATAGTGTAAATAGGTTAATGTTTCGGTTTCCTCAAACTGAGTATACAGGTACCTGAAATGCTGGAGACCAGACACTTTTTAAAATTTGGAATTTTTCTAATTCTGGAATGGCGGTACATTAGGACAAACAATTAAATGGATTGTTATCCAAGTAGGATAATCTGCAGCTCTCTAATATCATCAAGTCTTGAAAGTTGATAAATCACGAAAAAATAAAACATCCATGATAAACAGAGACTCATCTGACTAGTCTGCAGGACATGAACCAAAGCTAGAAAAATAATTTCTGCTGTTCCTTGGTAGAGTGAAGCAGAAATATATTTCAAGATATGGTTCAATGCCTGCTATAGTTTCTAACATTAACTTTGGTTTACAGATAGTATCCATGGAAAAGTGTTTTTTGGTTGATATTATTTTGGGTGAGAGATTGTGTACTTGCAATTTAATCGGAATTCATTGAGGCCTTGTACAGAAAGCCAAGTATTAAGAAATGTGGGGTAGATTGTATTTCCAACAGTGGAGGGAACATATTTGACTTCAAAATCCACATTTCAAATCAAATGACAAATATTATCCAGTGACAAAGAGGAAAATCTGAGATTTTTTGTCACATTTTACTCAGCTTAGAAAGAAAAAAAAAAAGTGGTTCAGCATTCATGAGATACAAAAAAAAACCCTCTTTTTTAAACATCACGAAACATTTTTGTTGTTACACAATATATTTAATATCATATACTTAATATTTCTGTTATTTTGTTGACAATTCATGAATCTCAAAAGTTTTCAGTGGCATACCAACATCTTATGGGTCCTTTAATACTGAAATTTAATTTTCTTAGGAGCATTAGTAATTTCTTTTACAAAAATGTTTTGCTGGTGTTCTGGGAACAACAACATTTAAGAGGTAGTTCCATGCTCATCAGGACCTTCCAATCAGCAGCCTTGCTGCCAAATGTAGTTTATCACCATACCCAGGATAGAATATCAAAAGGGATTTCATATTTAGTTTCTACTAAAACAAAGTTTCATGAGAGTCAATTTGCTCAATCATTTTTGATTAATTTCAGATTTTGCATTCCAGATTTGCTATTCTCAAACAGTTACCTTTGAACAATATCTTTCAATACTACATTCAAGCATGAAGAGGTCAAATGAATCCAGTAATTTATTGAAATCTCAATATGAGAAACACAACTTACTTCTTTCTGAGATTCTGTAGCATTTGTAAAACAGTGATGATGTCTTCTGATACATAGTAATCTTCTTCCAGCAGTAACACTATGCCTTCATAACCTTTCATCACTTTAATTTTCTCAAATACATGTGATAACTGAAATAAAAGAAGAGATAAAAGACATACATCAGAGAGACTTTTTACTGCAGGATAATAATAATAATAATAAAAGTGGACAAACATACTTAACGTTAGAGTCATACAATAAACAGATATATAAGAGATTGAAGACAAATATATTTTGTTACAAAATTTAATATAAATATTAAATACATATGCACAAGAAGACTGAATCATGTACAAGGTTTTTAAATATCTGTTTATATTTCTGAGATGAGGTATTATGTACATTATTTGGATTATTGTCCTCATCTTTGTTGCCGTTGTAATAAATATGGTAACAAATATGAGGACAATAGACTAAATAATGTAAATAAGGTTTTTAAAACTGTTAATGTGCATTAGTTTCAATAAATAAATATATATATATATATATATATATATATATATATATATATATATATATATAGAGAGAGACACACATACATATTATAAGTGGACATTGTGTTCAATGCCCAGCGGTGAGTTTCATGCTTAAACACAATCTGCAGGACAGAAGATTGCGTATGAAACTAGTGGCCTTGGAGGAAATGGAACAAAGATCATTAAATATTCATAGCCATACTTAATAAATCTATCTATTATATGCATAATTATTTTGTAGCAGTATTTTAAAATAGGAATGCACTGCAAATGAGGGAAAAAGGGATTGTCAGTGGTCAGGAATGAATGCAAGCTTTACTAAAAGAATAGGGCTATTATATGTAGAATTATTATTTTGTAGCAGTGTTTTACTATAGGAATGCATTGTAAATGAGGAAAAAAGGGATTGTCAGTGGTCAGGAATGAATACAAGCATTACTAAAAGAATAGGACTATTATATGTATAATTATTATTTTATAGCAGTGTTTTACTATAGGAATGCATTGCAAATGAGGAAGAAAGGGATTGTCAGTGGTTAGGAATGAATGCAAGCATTACTAAAAGAATAGAATGCATTTTGTAGCAGTTTTTTACTATAGGAATGCATTGCAAATGAGGAAAAAAGTGATTGTCAGTGGTCAGGAATGAATGCAAGCATTGCTAAAAGAATGGGGAGATTTATATATTCATACACCCATACAATATAGTTACTTGTCATTAACATTTTCAGTGCTTAGCATATCAGAAGACTTCAAATATTGGACACCCAGCAACAATCAAACTTACTATAGTCATAATTTTCTGTAAATTTAACTTGACTTGATAGTTACTACTGTATGGAAAGATTTACTAAGCTTGACTTAGTTTAGCCCAAGATGAACTTAAAAACAACTGTTCCCTGGCCGAAGTAGCCAGAGTTATTTTTATTCTATCTTATTTTCATTTTATTAATAAAAATAGGTAAGATAAAACTGACATGCTTTGAAAGAATGTAGTTAAAAAAAAAAAAAAAAAAAAAAAAAAAAGAAGAAAAAAAAAGCAATCAGAATTTGTTACATAAAGATTAGTTTCTGGCCAACATTGACAAGGAATTTGTAAATTATCAGGTCATCCCATAACTTCTGTCCGAATTTTACCTTTTTTTAAAATGAACAAAATTTAAAGAGTATTTTATAATGTCTAATGCAGCTGAACATTATTTTATGTTTAGATGCATTTAAATTGATCAAATTTTATTTCAGAGAACAATAAAATTAAATTTTGTTTGATTAAAACCCTGCTAACATGGAAGTACCCAAGAATCATTTGAGGCACATAATGCTTTATGAGTTCAAGTAAGGAAACTCAGCAGCCAAAGTGGCTAGAAACATTCACTCAGTTTATGGAGAGGAATGTGTGAATGAAAGAACTTGCAGAAGATGGTTTGCAAAATTCAGAGGTGGAGATTTCACCCTTGAAGATGAAGATCAAACTGGACGTCCAGTTGAGTTTGATGAAAAGCTTCTTGAAGCAGCCCTTGAAGAAAATCCTGCTTTATCAGTTGAGGAATTGGCAGTGGTTCTCAGTTCAAACCATACAACTCTTCGTCATCTTCAACAACTTGGAAAAGTTCCTAAACTTGGAAAATGGGTGCCTCATGAATTGTCTGAAATCAACCTCAAATCCAGAGTTGACATCTGTTCTCTTCTTTCTCGCCAACTTGTTTCATCTTTTTTGGATAGACTTGTGACTGGCGACGAAAAATGGATCTTTTATATAAATGTTAAGCATCGTAGACAGTGGCTTGGTAAAGGGGAAGGACCTCAGCCACAGCCAAGAAGGGAACTTCATGGGCAAAAGGTTCTTCTTTCAATCTGGTGGGATCGCCAAGGAATAATCCACTTTGAATTCTTACCACCTAATGCAACATTTAATGCTCAAATATACTGTCAGTTATTAGAGCGTTTGAACCAAGCTTTGAGGAAAAAAGACCTGCTCTAGTGAATTGAAAAGAGGTGATGTTTCATCAGGACAATTCGTGACCCCACACAGCAAGAATCACATCACAAAAGATCAAAGAATTTGGTTGGAAGAAAATTCCTTATCCACCTTATTCTCCCAATCTTGCTCCTTCAGACTACCATTTGTTTCGTAGCTTACAGAATCATTTGGAAGAAACAGCTTTTGTAACACAGGAAGAGGTTAAAACTGACATTTGTGAGTTCTTCGAATCGAAGCCAAAAGAATTTTACAGTAATGGAATTAGTAAGCTTGTTAATAGATGGAAGGAAGTCATAGATAATCAGGGAAAATACATTGTTGATTGAATCTGTAATTAAATGTAACATTTGGTCACTTGTTTTCTTTATTCAAAATTTGGACAGAACTTATAGGATGACCTGATATGTATGCCAACAAAAGGATAGGAATGTTCACTCAATTTTGATGAGATAAATATTTTTATCTGATGGAGATGATGTAAAATACATGAAAGGACTACCATTTTTATTCTCTTAGCTTTTTAACTTTCCAGAAAATTCAGTAAATAATCATAAACTTAATTAGTTAATTTTCAAAAGGATTTTGCAAACATAATTGTATTTCATAAAATGATCTTTTGATATTCTTTTTTATCAAACCACCTTTAAATGTATTTGAATGGGTGTATGTGTATAATGGAATAATAATAATAATAATAATGATAATAACAAAGATAATAATATGTGTATAATGAAAGAATAATAATAATAATAATGAAGATAATATGATAACATGATAATATGTGTATAATGAAAGAATAATGATGATAATAATATAATAAATTGAAATAATTTATTGAGTTGAAGTCATTCCCTGACCAACAAAACTGAAATTTCAAAAATTAATTACATACTAAAAAAAAAAAAAAAAAAAAAAAAAAAATCAGAAAGTTTAAAATTCATTCAGTTGCCTTAAAAGGAAAATATTTGCCATGAGAAAATTCATAGCGACTGAGATAGATACATAATCTTTATCAGTGGGTATAGTTAGGATTTGAATCCAGTTATAAAAAAAGAAAAAAAAAAGAAAAAAGAAAAAAAAAAAAAAAAAAAAAAAAAAAAAAAAAAAAAAAAAAAAAAAAAAAAAAAAAAAAAAAAAAAAAAAAAAAAAAAAAAAAAAAAAAAAAAAAAAAAAAAAAAAAAAAAAAAAAAAAAAAAAAAAAAAAAAAAAAAAAAAAAAAAAAAAAAAAAAAAAGAAAAAGAAAAAAAAAAAAAAAAAAAGAAAAAAGAAAAAAAAAAAAAAAAAAGAAAAAAAAAGAAAAAAAAGAAAAAAAAGAAAAAAAAAAAAAAAAAAAGAAGAAAAAAAGAAAGACGTTCTCCCGATTCAGATCAAATTGGTGGGCAATCTAATATTTTCTTTGTTTACATTTTCATTTGAACTTTATAAAAAAAGTAATCTACTTTTGCTGCTTAAAATGCTATGATACTAAGGATATTGTCTGCTAATCAAATATCTGTCACCTACAAGTATATTACTTGGAATTATCTTCATTGTTTAAAAATTAATTTAAAAATAAATTAAAATTTGAAATAGAAATTTTTTTTAACAATAATTAAGTTTTGATGCATATTTTTTCATCTTAATTTACATATTTTATTCTTTATTTTTGATTTGTCCTTTATGAAAGGCAGCTTCGGTAGCTGCAATGAAAAATAACTAAAATAAAGAACTAAAAAATTATTAACAGCTGACAATGTTTCAGTGAAGGAAAAAATAAAATGCTTATATAAAGATCGACAATATTCAAAATGTTTCCTCCTCCTCCACAACCTGATAATTACTCTTCACGTCTAGTAAAAGAACTCTCCAGTTCCAAGGCCACTTTCAAAGCGAACATTGATAATTCCCCTCACTTATTTCAATAAACATTGATCCAGTCTTATTCTAACTCCAATTTTTCTTACTCTATTCTTTCTCATTTTTCTTCTATAAGCAATTAGCAACAAACGTTTATTTAGATGTGATTCTGAAATGCTTTTAAAAGAGCTGCACTTAATCACCCACCTTTTTATGAGCACATGTACCAATTGATTCCCCCCCCCCCACACACACACTTCACTGTGTATCCATGACAATGTCACCTCTTCTCAATTATTTCATGAACAATTGACATTTCAACATGTCCTTGGATGTCACTAATTGTTGACAGAAGCATCAGACTTCAGCTTGTCTACCTAGCAATAGATATAGAATAAGGTTTTTTCTGAAATTGTTGAGCCTTCCTACGGTCATTAAGAAGAAATATCGTAACTTTTCAACAAATGATAATGTTTCTTCTTGCAATGTTGACATGACCACATTCTTCATTTTAGGAGATTTGCATGTCAAGATGTCATTTTTTTTTTTCTCTCTATGCACAAAAAAATATTTATCGTCTTTGATTACTCTTACCTCTGGAAAGATTAACTTAGTTTGCATCCATAAATATCACTATGATTTATCTGTAGTGAACAAAACAAGATCTAGATTTAAAATTCAAATGCTAAGCATGGACTCATTGATTTTGTTAGAAATTAAAAAGACTCGAATTTACAAACTTTGCTTAAACACACAAAAGCGAATCCAAAACAAAACTCGTGAAATTTCACACCTT